TAGATACATAGATACATAGATACATAGATACATAGATACATAGATACATAAATACTTTCCCATATTTCCCATGACAAATTCCCAATATTTAATTCTTCTACTCTTATTGCACTTTGCAGGGCCTTGGACACATCAGCGGCTGTCACATCAATCCGGCTGTGACTATTGGCTTCTTGATTGTCGGCGAGATGAGCATCCTGAAGGCGGCCTTCTACATAATCGTGCAGTGCGTGGGTGCCATTGCCGGGGCTGCAGTCATCCGGGCAGCTCTTAACGGAATGCTCACCGCCGGACTCGGTGTTTCCTCGTTCAATGCCACGCTGGATGTGGGTCAGGTGGTGTTGATCGAGGCGCTGATCACATTCATACTGGTGTTTGTGGTCAAGGCTGTGTCCGATCCGGGTCGCCAGGACATCAAGGGATCGGCCCCATTAGCTGTCGGCCTGTCCATTGCAGCGGGACATTTGTGTGCGGTAGGTTAAGAGTGAATACAAGTAAAAGGTTCGCATGTGAAGAGATTTCTTTCCACAGATTAATCTCACTGGCGCCAGCATGAATCCAGCTCGCTCCTTCGGACCAGCCGTCGTCCAGGGCATGTGGACCGACCACTGGGTCTACTGGGTGGGACCCATTGTGGGCGGCATTGTTGCTGCCATCATCTACAAGTTCGTCTTCAAAGTGCGCAAGGGCGACGATGAAGCCAACTCTTACGATTTCTAAGGCCACTCTCCTATCTCTCTGCCTTTCTCTCTCTCTCCCTCTCTCTATTTCTCTATCTCTCTCTAACCAATCATAATTGTCTCTTTGTTCCCACGGGAACACTTTCACGATCTGGTTGTTGTATCGCCACATGTGCGTGAGTTGCTTATGCACATTTGTCTTTGCCTCACTGAGAATCCATCGAATTCGTTTCCACTTAGATTAGCTCAACGAGAGCCTCACCATGCAAATTGCATCATTTTTATTTGTTAAAAAATAAAAATCGCTTTGTTGTAGTCGTACTAACACCTAAAATATATTGAATATTCTATGTTTAGAGCATAAGATAAGTAAAATTCGCATTAATTGGCCTTAGCTACACCACTTGCAGCACAGAATCGAGACTCGAAATGCGATTTGCTAAGCCACAACACCGAATTATTTGTTACAAATTGTTATTGTGTCTAAGTAAATAATTATCCAGCACAAATGAACATATTTCATAAATTACGAATTATATGTGTAATAAAAAATATTAAAAAATCAAAGCATGCAATGTGTTTTATTTTTAACTTTTCAAATTGGGAAATTTCTCTCTCTCTCACTTTGATATTTTTATAAAAGACATTCGAATATTTCCCTACTTTGTAAATCAGCAGAAAAAAAAATAAAATTTGAATACAGTGGGATCTCTTTATTCCCTGTCTTTTTTCGATAAAGTTATTGATCTACTTTGTTTTCAGTTATATTACATCTAACTCAAATATAATTTCTATAATTAAGTAGTTTAAATTTATATCTTTTGGTTGAATTTTCAACAAATTAATCAATTCTGAGAATTTTTAAAATCATGTTATCCAAATATTATTGAATTAATATTAAAGCAAATGAATTAATTAATCAATATTATTAGTTAATACACTCACTCATATAAACAAACAAGCAAATAATGTTGTCTATGTTTGGGCACGCTGTGAACCTCATATTTGATATACAGTGGATTTTGTAGAAATCACAAATTTCTTGTTGCATACTTTTAGGTGTGTGGCGAATATTAACATGTTACGAAAATTCTAGCAATTTACCCGTGCCTTAACTGATTTGTGAGCTACTGGATATTATGCCCAGCTACAGGGGTTTGACTGAGTTCCTTCTCCTTATAAAAAAAAACCAGCTGCACTAGATTTAATGACTTAATATCACATGAGTAAATGACAAAATAAACAAATTGTAGCTACAAATTTTTTTGTTTATTCACAATGCAAGTCAATGTGAGTGTCCCTCGGGGAGTGTACGTGCTAATTGAAGTTCAATAACAATTCAGATTTGCATATGACTTCTCTCCGTTCATTCATGTAAAATGCGACTGAGTACAAAAGTTCTTTTGCGTCATCAGGCACTGCACCATATGCGGGTGTTGTTGGCAAACAAAGCAACAACAACAATTATAACAACAACAACGAATACCAAAATGAAGTCCATTAAAAAAGCGACGATAAATATGTTACAAGGTAAGTCGCGCACGCGTGCTCATCCACCCGCAGTTGATTAAATTAAGCGGTGTTCGTTTGCGGGTTTCGCCACTGATAAGACTCAGCCGACTTGCCCTCCACTGGCTGAGCGGGCAGTGGGCTGCTATTAGCTGCTGCGACATACACTACGAGAAATGTGCCGCAGCATTGTTTTTATTTATTTACCTTTTTTCGATTTAAGCGAGCCGAAAACAAATTACTCATGCGTTTTCCACGAATCGCCTAAGTAAATTTAATACGGTTTTCGCAGCGGGCGCACTAGATGCTCGTCTCGGTAGTTCGACAGACGATCAGTCTGAAACGCAAGCAGCACGCGACAACACGAACTATTGATTCTTGCCATAATGTCGTTCCAATTCAAGTTGAATACAATATGCCTGCTCTGGCTTTTGATCCAAGTGCACGTTCAAGTCCAAGTCCAGGCGCAAGATATTCCTGTAGAATTTCCTGAAGATTTTCCCACAACCACTGTTGAAGCGGTTACCGAGCTAGCGGAGACAACAACCACTGCTACAGCAACTACGGCTACAGAGCCTGCCCCAACAGCAACTGATAAACCTACAATGCCAACAACAACAACTGAAGCACCAACAGAAGCAACAACAATTTCCAGCACAGAGCCAGTGCCAGACACTACCACACAAACTTATCCTAGCTACACGCCGCCCACATACGTTCCACACTATCCCAGCCGCCCAACATATGTTCCACAATTCCCACCGTGGGTGTGGGACTCGAATGAGAGCGGAGGTGGGCTGAGCTGTTATCTGAAGGAGCAAGCCGAAAATAAATATGTACGCTGGAGCTGTGGATGTGAGTAGAGCGTAACTTATTATAGGTCGGACTCTATATATTATATATATATTCAATTTTTTTCAATCTTACAGTGACCAGTTGGAAGCCCATAACAAGCTGTTATCGCTGCTGTTATTACAGTTACAGCGGCTATGCCGGGTGCAGCAAACTGCATGAGGGACGCTGCAACAGTATAAGCTATTCCAGCTGGGCTATTTATAAATAAAATAATGGGAAATGGCTAATGAGTTACTACACTTCTACGCGAAGGAGGGTCATCGAGAGTGTGAAATGGGAAACTGTATAAATGAATGCATTAAATGTTTAATTAAGACAATTGAGGGCAATTTTTCAGCAATTACAAATAAATATTCATTAGATAATAGTATTTTATAACTGAGTGTTTTATATGGCTTTAACATTTCAAGCATTGATATTGATCAGTTCAGGTTGTAGACATTGCCCAGATTAAGGAAGCAATCCTTCAGGTGCTGCTGGCACTCGCAAAAGTCGGGAAACGGGGGCGCCAACACCTCGTACATGATGCGCAGCAGATCGACAAACTTGTTGAGCGCCTTGGCATAGTCGCCAGTGTCGTAGAGCCGTTTGGCCGTGCGCGTCATCATCTCCGTGTCCTGCATGACCTTGAGGCCCTTCAGTATGTTCGTCAGCTCGCCGCAGGTGACGCACTTGATCATGAAGTCGTTGCAGCTGGGCGGCACCTCAATGACCGCCGTGCAGTTGTTGGGCGCCTCGCAACGGAAGCGAATGATGTCCCTGGGCAGGTCGTCGAACAGCGGCCAATTCTCCAGGCAGGCGTCGCAGTTGCACTCGAACCAGTACAGCTCCTTCAGCCTGGCCTGGCGATCCTCGCGCTTGTCCTGCGTGTAGATGGGCCCGTAGTTTTCATTGATGGGCAGCCCCGCCTCCACGGGTCGCACGGTGTTAATGTGGATGGTGTTGCCGCGGAAGTACCTGACCACACCGGGGTCACATGAGTGATTGAACAGCGCGAGCGTCGGATAGATGGCGCCGCCAATGAAGATCGACTTCTCCCTGCCCTCGGCCGCGTACTTGTGCAGCTCGGCCACCTCGTGCGTGTTGAACTGAATGAACTGCAAGCAGCGCAGCAGCAGACCGCCAATGGCGCTCACCTGCTCTGACTGCGGCTCGCTGCCAAAGTAGCCCGCTGCCTGCAGGCATCTGGTGAGAAAGCGCGCCATCAGCACATATTGAAAGAAGTTCGACGGGGGTCGCTCCTTCTGATGCCGCTCCAGGTGGGCGACGCGCCGAAAGTCATCTTTGGTCAGACTGCAAACAAAGAGGGGGAATCAGAAATCATCTAACAAATAGCAAATGGCCAATGGCAGACCTCAAGAGCTGCTCCAGTGAGAGCTCCTCGTCCAGACTGGCCCTCAGCTGCATAAAATAGTCCAGCGGCTTGCTGGCAATGATGCGTAGCGCCATGTGATTGTTGATCGAGGCACCGGAGCGCCAGATCACAGGCAAAAGTCCGCACTCGAACTTGTGGTACTTGGCTGCGGCCTTCTGCTGGCACTGCTCCGAGCAGTAGATAACGTCCGAGCAACCCGGACAGGCCACGGGCACCACAGTGCTGTAAATATTTAAATGAAAAACGTAAGAGTTGGAAATATAACACATAAATAAACAAATGCATGTAAATTAAATAATGTAGTAAATAATATATGAATATATGAATACAATCAAGAGATAAGAAATATCACGAAACAAAAAAATTAATTTAAATACAAAATATCTCTTGAAAAGAGTTAAAGTATTTCTGATTAGAATTAGTTAAATGTTATTCACTTATATATTATAGAATATATAATTATTAATTTAGTTAAAAGTATGTATTTAAGGCAAAAATCATAAATCCACAATCTTATTTAGATTTATTTAGCTTCGAATTCGAGTCACTGCCCTATATAATTAGCTTACTATGATGATGACTAACTTGACTAATATAATTAGCGAACAATAAGATTCGCAGAAGGCGAAAATGAGTAAGTCATATTGTTGTTGTACATCTCTCAGGGTCTAAATATTGATGTATATCAGATTACCCACTAATTATATTAACTAGTCATTTGTAGTAGTCCAAGCTGCTAATACTAAATTATTTCTATATTAACGAAGAATTTATTTCCCATTATTTATATTATTTTATATGCATTAAAGATATGCTGCTAAGCTCCTACACTATAATTTCTCTTTTCGGTAGTTTTCTCATTTTAATATAATCAATATTATATTTCACTAGATTTGCTTTGACCTTTCCCTAAATTCCCTATGAATATGGATTTACAGTAAACATTGATCAACTCCCACTCCTAGCCTTCCCATCAATATCTAGCTGATCTCTCACTTACCGCATAAAGCAAAATTCGCAGTGTGTCTGAGCATATTTCTCGAGCAGCACAGCTACGTAGGGATGCTCGACTAGCAGCTCTTGGCCCACCTGCACATCGGAAGCTGCACGTGCGAATCTGCCCTCCTGCGGGTTCTGATCGATGCGAACCAGATCGCTAACGAACTCCTTTTCGTAGGGCAGCGTTTGAGCTTGCTCCAGGGTTGGAGACGAGGATTTTGATTCCTTTAGTTTCTGCTGCTTGGCGGCTTGCTTAGCCGTGCGCGGATCGTTCTCCAGCATCTTGATCATGGTCATGGCATCCAGGTGCAGCTTGGAGCGCCTGTCAGCGGGCAGCGTGGAGTCATCCGTGGCCGTGATGCATTTTCTAGGTAATCACTTGAAATATTACTCAAGATCTTTTCAAATCCCCAATTTTACCTACTTGAAGGCGTTGATCGTGCGTGGATAGTCCTTCAGGGCCATATAACAGCGCGCCTGGCGCTCGTACAACTTGTAGACGAGCTCCTTGGGATACTCCAGCTCCAAGGCGCGTCTGATGTCCACCAAGCACTCGCTGTGCTTCTGCAAGTGATACAAAGTGGCCGAGCGGTTGGCGAGTGCAATGGAACGCTCCTCCACTAGAATATGTACAAGCATAAGGTTATTTATATACATAGTATAAGAGTTCACTTTATGGTATAAGACTTCCACTCACGCTTGTCATGTGGTAATGTCACATAGCATCTGCTGTAGAGCAACATCGCCTCCAGCCATTTCTTCTGCTTGAAGGCCGTCGTGGCTCGCTCCTTC